TGTGTGTGTGTGTGTGTGTGTGTGTGTGGGTATGGCTTTCAGCAAGGCTATATTAATTGTAATCATATAGATATGCATTTTTGTTGCTGTGGTTTTGTTATCTTTGTTTTTGTATGTGTGCAGCCATGATGTCGGGTGTGCTGTCTTGTGTTTTCTCAACATATATTTCACATATCTTCTAATCTCTCTTTCACTCTCTCATTACATTTCATTTTTTTCTTTCTCTTTCTTTTTCTCCTTAAAAAAGCCACTGATGATGAAGAAGCTAAGATACTAATATTCAGATAATCAGTTCTGCTTTCTACTGAAGTGGCCAAAAAAAGATTGATATTGATGTGCACAAACTTTGTATGTAGTCAAAATAACAGGTAACCACAAAAAGAATTGCTGAACTTTTAAAAACATTTTGAAGCAGATGTCTGTCTCACATTTAATGTGTTGTGCTTCTTGTCAGCGCAGCTCATTGCTGATCCACACTTCTTTGGGTTCCATGATGCTCACTTCCTTTCTGAAAACTCATGTCTGTGTGGGACGTAGCTGGTTTATCTGTAATTTATAACAGCCAGAGGGAGCAGAAACATAGATCGGCTTGTTCAGCCATTTCACAGAACTGTTCTATGAAAGAGCCTTGTTTCAGTCTAGTAGTTAACTCTTTCCTTTCTATTCACAAAGTGAGGCTTTTAATATTATTAAATATTATTCATTCTTGTTTGGACCCAAACTATGACGCCCGTGTGTTTTCTGACAGTTGTTTAATGAAAACACGTGGGAAGCTGTTATTTTTATTGTTCCCTCTTGATGTTTTACAAAAATATTTATTTTCATTTTGCTGTTCAGAACATGAATATCTGACTTTTCTGTATGCGCCTGAAGGCAACAAACATCTAACTGCTTTGATCTGCAGTCAATTATTTCATTCTTGTCATTCCTTGCAATACTCTGCCCATGTTTAGACTTTGACCTTTGACTCTTAACCTTGTGGTGGTTCTGTATGCAGATTATGTGACTCTGAAGTGGATCAAGTGTCAACTGGAATGAAGGATGGTTCTTTTCAGACAGACTGAAACCAAAGAACCTGTTTCTGAAACACTAGATGAGCTGCTGCAACAACAAACATTAAGCTGACCTGCCACGCGGCCCAGCGCTTGCCACAGGTCAAAGGACTGGTGGCTTGTGTCCTAGTAGAGAGCAGCTGATCCTGGATCAGAAAACTGAGACATGATTCAAACCAAATGGGATGCAGGATCGACACAGTGAAGAGCACCTGATGGTTTCAAAGACTTCATCACTGAAAAAACACACGAGAAGTTTCATTCTTCTGAGGAAGACTTCAGAAACTTTGTCACAGATGAAGACAGTTTTCTGTCTGCTGCTCAAAAACCTGTTGGTCAAAATCAGAATCAGAAACACTTGATTGTCATTGTCAGTAAACGAGTTATAGACTAGGGATTTGCTCTGGTGTAGTGGTGTGAATACACAAGGAGTAAGAGAACTAAATGAAGCTAAGTGGTTGAAGTGAGGAAAGAAAACAAGTCAGAATACAATAAGAAGAATGAAAAGTAAAAATACAAGCGTGGCTGGCAGCGATGGACCAGAGCCAATTAAACATTGCCCATTAGTCTAATGGCTGATGGGAAAAAACTGTTCTTGTGGAGGGAGGTTCTGGTCTGAATGGACCGCAGTCTTTTTCTTGAGGGGAGGAGGGTCTGCTGTGATTCTGCCTGCGCCACCTAGAGTTCTGGAGGAGTACAGCTCCTCTACAGGTCAGAGGTTGCAGTGCACACAATGAGCTGCAGTCTCTGTCTCTGCCTGTGGCCCCAGTGGACCATACAGTGATGGAGGAGGTGATGATGGACCATACAGTGATGAAGAAAGTGAAGATGGACCATACAGTGATGGAGGAGGTGATGATGGACCATACAGTGATGGAGGAGGTGATGATGGACCATACAGTGATGGAGGAGGTGATGATGGACCATACAGTGATGGAGGAGGTGATGATGGACCATACAGTGATGGAGGAGGTGATGATGGACCATACAGTGATGGAGGAGGTGATGATGGACCATACAGTGATG